GTTGTGTGGTCGGTGAAATTAACTCTAATATCGATTCGATATTAATACAAAAGTCTCCGGGTCTGATGGGGAATTCCATATCGGTTGACATAGTTCAGTTGTGCGCATGCTCGCGCGTTTGTATGTGAATGATTAGGAGTTGTACTTTGTTCACAACGTCTTTGATGTGAACGTAAAAACATGGCGGAGATGTAACGACAAAGCGTCGATTGTCTATTGGCTGACAGCCCAAAACTTTTACGCCACGTCCCTGGTTTCGCAGCAGAACAACATAATCAGAAGTACTCAAAGTAAGAAATTACATTTACGTCGTTTGTCACTGCAGCATTCTGACAGCTGATTAGTTGTGATAACAGAGAGACATTCAGAAATGAACATAAATTTTGTTACAAGAGATGTCTATTACGAAATACGTTTGAACTCGACGTATGTTCTATGCTGCTAGTATCAAGCCGCACTGCGCTGTATTTGCTGCGAAGTATATATTAAAGTTTAGCTTGAGAAAAATATACGAACATATGGGAAAAAGTATGTTTCTTTACTTTCTGCATGATCAAAATAAACTCGACTTCACACTCATTATCCGATTAACAACATAAATTTTTCATGTCTAAATGTATATTTTTTCCCCCTTTGGCGCTACAGCCCCAATTTGGTCCTTGGCCTACCTCCATGAAACTCTCCGTTCACTTCGGTGTACTAGATCTTAGACATTCGGTAGGACTCCTTGGGAGGGTATTCAGCTCGTCTCAAGGACTCTACATGTACATAAACACAAAAAAATGCTAATATACACACAAACACTAAACATCCATGACCTGAGTTGGATTCGAACACACGGTCCCGGCCACCGAGCGACCGAAGACAATACATGCCTTAGACCGCTCGGCTACCGTGGAAGGCCTAAACGTGAATACATGCTAGAAAATATGTGCTGTGTTTGTTTGTGTGACGTGTGTTATGTGTGTGTTGTGTCTTATTGTAGTACCACTGCCACCGGGTGAAAACCCATTTGCAGTTTAAATAATAATAACAATAATAATAAATGAAAAACTGGAACGTACCAGGTAGAAAGTATTTAAATGAATTTTTACAGATGTAATGAGGAAAAAAGATTTATTCGGATGGTGAAAACACTTTAGTTGAAGAAGACTGTAAGACTAACTTTTTGTTTACATGTCATTTGTGGGTTGTCTGCACCTTCAAACTTGGAAGGAAACTTTTTATTCAGTTATAACACGCTCCTGAGTGCCAGTTCCATCCCAGTGAATCTAGAAAAATTAGTATATTATACAGTCGCTGCATTTAAAGGAAAGCATTGTTGCTACAGCTTCATTTTCTGAGCATTTATGTCTGAGGATGTAAATAGTTCCCCTTTCCTTTTCAAGAAATTGCTTTATTACTAAAACCTACCTTTAATCTTTAGTCATAGTTCATATAACGTAACTCTGTTAAGTGGAACTGTTTAAAAGCGTTAAAAGAATATAGCAGGGTTAATGAATTTTTAAGCCGGTAAGAAGAAATTCTTTCTCCCAGAATAAATTATGACTAAAGCATATTCAGAATACATAATGGGATGTTAAATAATACACGGCCGGTCACGGTAGCCGAGCGATCTGAGGCATGTACTGTCTTCGCTCGCTTGGAAACCGGGATCGTGGGTTCGGATCTGTTTCCTGTGAGGTACGAACTGAATTCTTATATATTATTCTTATACACTGCCGGTCACAGTAGCCGAGCGGTCTAAGGCATGTATTGTCTTCGCTCGCTTGGAAACCGGGATCGTGGGTTCGAATCCCACACAAGGCATGGATGTTTGGTATGTGTATGCGTTTATTCTGTGTTTGTGTTGTACCGTGTTTAGGTACAGGCCTTGCGACGAGCTGATCACCCGTCCAAGGAGTCCTACCGTCTGTAAAAATTATAAATTAAAGTGAGATATCAGCCCTGTGCTCCAAAGTTGGAGCAAGAGAAAGAAAATACATCGACTCCTTCACTAAAATAATCTGAGAGGCGAGTAAGGTTACTTTGTCACACAGCTTAAGGAATCAATACATTCCCATATTATACAAGAGTCTATAAAATAAATTCACTATGATCGTATACATGGAAGATTTTCAGAGGTTCCTAGTGAAGGAGGAATCATTTCATTTCTGAAGAAAAACATCTCCATATGTAAAATTCATAAGGCCTATATTCGGTGACTTCAGTCTTACGATAAACATAGCACAACCCTGTATGGGTTATGGGGGCGCGCGGTAGCGTAGTTGGTTGAGGCACTACGCTACAATCCGGAAGTTCGCGGGTTGCCGACGAGGTCACTGGATTTTTCAATTGACCTAATCCTTCCAGCCTCTAACAGAAATGAGTACCAGGAATATTCTTGGGGGTAAAGGAAGGACGGCACATAAGGGTGACAACCTCACCGCCATCTATGAGCCGATCGTCTAGAAAGTGTGGGAGCCTCGACGTCTCACAATCCTATGGGCCTCCACGACCGGTTACAGGGATAGATTTATCGGTATAGATCATACAAAATTACGACAAATAAGCGTCTCTCTTCATCACGAGATTGATTTGTGTGAAACACCAGCCATGTAGTTTAAAGTTCTGGGTCACAAATTGCAGTTCTGATGCGAGGCCTCATACGA